TTCTTTATTCAGTGTCCAACTTTCACGTGAATGTGAGTCTATTAAAAATACTATGACTTGTATTAGGAGCACCTTAGTCTTCAAACTGACACCTTTGCTCTGTACTACTTTAAAGAGATCTTGTGAAGCAGATTTGCCCAATGAAATACAATATTTGATTTCTTGATTGCTGCTTCAATGAGTATTGATAGTTGATCCAAGCAAAATGAAGTCATTGACAACCTCAATCCTTTGTCCATTTATATGGATGTTATTTATTTGTCCAGTGGTGACAATTTTTGTTTCCTTTACATTGAGGTGCAACTCACACTGAAGACTGTGTGTGGTCTTTGATCTTAATCAACAAGTATTTTAAGTTCTCTTCACTTTCAGCAAGCAAGGTTGTGTCATCTGCATGTTGCAGGTTGTTAATGAGCCTTCCAGCAATCCTGATGCCACATTCTTCTTCATATAATCCAGCTTCTCTGATTATTTGTTCAGCATACAGATTGAATAAATATGGTGAAAGAATACAACCCTGGTGCACACCTTTGCTAATTTTAAACCATTCAGTGTTCCCTTGTTCTGTTTGAACAACTGCCTCTTGGTCTATGTACAGCTTCCTTATGAGCACAATTAACTGTTCAGGAATACTCATACTTTGCAGTGTTGTCCATTGTTGTTGTTAGGTGCCATCGAGTCAGTACTGACTAATCATGACTTTATGCACAACAGAACAAAGCACTACCCGATCCTGGGACAACCTCACTACTGTTGCCACGCTTGAGTCCATCAATTCTGCCACTTGACCAATCCATCTCGTTGGGGGTCTTCATCTTTTTCTCTGACCCTCCACCTTCCCAATACCAGCCCTTTCAGCTCACTAATACCTAAGATATTGATGTTTATGCATTCCATTTCATTTTTGACAACTTCCATTTTTCCCATATTCGTACTTCGTACATCCCATGATCCGATTTTCAAAGGAGGTTTACAGCTGTTTCTCTTAGTTTTGAGTTGTGCCCCATCAACAAATGAAGGTCCCACGGGCTTTACTCCATTCGCATTATCATGGTCAACTCTAATTTGAGGAGGCAGCTCTTCCCCAGTCACATTTTGAGTGCCTTCCAACCTGAGCGACTCATTTCCCGGTACTATATCTGACAGTGTTTCTCTGCTGTTGATAAGGTTTTCAGTGACTACGTATTCGGAAGTGGTTCATCATTCTTTCTTCCTAGTCTGTCTTTGTCTCGAAGCTCATCTGAAACCTGTCCACCATGGGTGACCCTGCTGGTATTTAAAATACCGGTGGCATAGCTTTCAGAATCACAGCAACTTCCAAGTCACCACACTATGACAAAGTGACAGACGAGTGGTGGAATGTTGTCCAAAGTTTGTCATGATCCACACAATTGAAAGACTTTGCGTGGTCAATAAAGCACCGGTCAACATCTTTCTAGTATTCCCTGCTGTCAGCCAAGATCCATCTGACATCAGCAATGATGTCTCTCATTCCACATCCTCTTCTGAATCTGCCTTGAACCTCTGGAAGTTGTCTATCAAAGTATGGCTACAGTGAGCCATACATAATTTTTGTATTACCTTTAGTATAACTTTACTCGCATGGGATGGATATCAATGATATTGTCCAATGATTTCTGTATTCTGTTGGGTTATCTCTCTTTGGAATGGGCACAAATACAGATCTCTTCCAGTCATTGTATATTGTAAGTTATAGTGGCCAAGAATCTCTTGGACTTGAATAACCCACTGCCATCAAGTCAGCTTTAACTCATAACAACACTATAGAACGGAGTAGAAATGTTCCCAAAGGATTTCCAAGCCTGCAGTTTGTATTTCAAACTTTTAATTGTGAGTTGAGTAAAAGCTCAGAGTAGACGATCAGTTTCACATTCAATAATTAACACACATTTTGTTTCATCTCATTGATTCCAATCCCCTTAATATAACATCGTTTATCTCACTTCTCTTATTTCTTGTTTCCATCCCTTCTTTTTTCCTATTTCTTCCAAACTCTGCCCTTTTGGTAGATAGGTAAATGCTACCCTTTTGATCTTAAATAGTTTATTGTTCTGAGGTGTGCATGTCTCACTTGTCTTATTGTTGCCCATATAGACCTATTGTTTGGCTGAAAATTGAGCCATGGAGGTGAGTTCAGTTCCAGACTAAGGGCCGTAGTCTTGGGGGTTTCAGTAGACTTTATGTGACTAGTCAATCTTGTCTGTCTTATGATTTTGAGTTGTGGTCTACATTTTCTCCCACTCTTATCTACTACCTTCTAATGTGATCCCCAGCTGGTAGTAGTAGCCAGGCATCATCTAGTCTGGTCTCAGGGTCATGGACATTGATGTTCATTTGGTCCATTTGTCCAGTGAGCTATGTGTTTCCATCTGTCTTTGATTGTCATGACTTTTGTTTCCACCAGACAAGGAAAGAACAATAGTTGCTTAGATAGCTTTTCATGGGCTTTTAAAACTTCCGTCTCTACTCAGCAAAGTAGAATATAGAACGTTGCCTCTGTGGACTATGCTATGTCAATTGAGTTTGGTGTCCCCTGACACGACGGTCCTGAGCCCTAGACCAATGACTCCTTCTCTCAAGGTGATTGGTTATATCTAAGAAATGTTTATAACTTTGCTCCCCTCATACTATAATACATTCATGGAAATGTTTGTAGCAAAGGTCAGTACCCCTGCATAAAAATCCTCTGTCAAACCTATGTGTATTTGTTTGTTTGCACCTACTCACTCTCCCACACCTATTCAACCTACATGTCAATTCATACTTCTACTCCTGTTGTTGTTAGGTGCCATCAATTCGATACCAACTCATAGTAACCTTATGAACAGCAGAACAAAACACTGCCCAATCCTGGTCTCACCTCACTACTGTTGCCATGCTTGAGCCCACTGATGCTGCCACTTTTCAATCCATCTCACTGGGGGACTTCTTTTTCTCTGACCTTCCACCTTACCAAACATGATATCCTTCTCCAGTGACTGGTCCCTCCTGACAAATATGTCTGAAGTATGAAAGACAAAGTTTGGCCATCCTGGCTTCCAAGGAGTACTGACTGCACTTCTTCCATCACAGATCTGTTGGTTCTTTTGGCAGCCCATAGCACTTTTAATATTCTCCTCTAACACCATAACTCAAAAGCATCAGTTCTTCTATGGTCTTTCTTATTTACTGTGCAGCTTTCGTATGCATCTACTTCTGGGTTACTATTACTGTAGGATTGTATACATGACAATATTTACCTCTGTTGCCTTTAACTCTTGCTCGCATCCCAGTGCCCTGCCATGCCTCCATCATATTTTGCCAACCTCCCTTTTATTGTTTATTGTCTTCCCCTTCACCCAAGTAACATGTGTACTAGGTTATTTCCAATTTTAAACAGTTTGTTCTCTCTTGAAATCTGCTTAACTTCCTCTCTGTCTGGAAGATCTATAAATACACTATTCCCTCTTTTTACTTTGGAATTGTCTTCCTTAAAATTTGATATCTCTGGTTCCCTATTTTCAGTCTTGAAGATATGTTTTACTTTGGATACTTCAATATCTGAATTGACTTTCAGATGATATTGTCATGTGTAGTCATTTCAGGTTGCTGTCATCTGTTGTTGGGCTCTATCTGAAGATTTTCCATTAGTATTTTTTGTCAGGTTGATCCAGTAATTTTTATGGGATCAGATTGCCCGATCCTTCTCCTGTGGAGCAACTGGCCATTTAGTTAACAGCCCAGCACTTAGCCACTGCATCAACAGGGATTCTATTGATGAGAATAAGGAAAAAGACCTGTTGTCAACAGGGTTATAATGGTTGTGATGCAAGTGGTGGCTTTTTGAGAAGGGAAGTGTCCCCTTTGCAAGTCTGTTCACTTTACTGCAAACACTGGACAACTGTCATGCTTGCCTGGGGTCTGGTATCACTGGATGCTTTTACTTATGTTCTAGGTTAACCCCAGATGCTCAATGCCTTACTTTTTTAAAAAAATATTGACTATTTCATTTATGATACAACAGTATCTTTGTTAAAACATTTTATTATACTAATGACGTTGTGGAAGTGTCTGGTGTGGAGGGTTGCTATGAGTCAGAACCAACTTGACAGCATTCAACAGTAATAACAGTGATACTGTACTTAATGTGTTGGGCGTTTGTTTGTTTGTTTTAATTGTTTTGAAAATATACATAAAACCTTCACCAAGTCAATCATTTCCACATGTACAATTCAGTGACACGGATTGCATTCTTCATATTATAAAGGCTTTGTTGCTATCCTTTTCCAAATTATTTAAACACTAATACTATAAACTACCAGCTGCTCCGCGGGAGAAAGATGAGGCTTTCTACTCCCGTAAAGATTTACACCCTCGGAAACCCTGTTCAGGGTTGTGGGTCGGAACCGACTCGATGGCACTTAACAACAACAACAATTATAAACTCAGTGTCCCCTAAGCAAAAATCCCCCATCCCCTTCCCTCCTTTTCCTGATAGCCACAGTAATAATCTTTTATTTCTATGTTGTTGTTGTTAAGTGCCATCAAGTCAGTTCCAACTCATGGAGACCCTATATAGGATTTCCGAGGAGAGGAGCAACTGGTGGATTTGAACTGCCAACCTTGATGTTCAAACTGACCTTGCAGTAGAGTGCGTATCCTACAGAACTGTACCAGGACTCCAGATTTCTATATGTTTGCTTGTTTATCAGTGCCTTATTTTTATAAGCAGTTTGGTATTGGATCGAAAGGTCATAACAGAAGGCATCACGGTTTAAAGTGATCTTCCAAATTTAATTCATTGTAAAATGTTTTAACTGAAATGAGAAAAATAGACCTATATTTCAGCATGTGTCATGGAGGTAAAAATGGTGTCACCAGATTAAATGAAAACTGGGGGGGGGGGGGCGGGGGGTCATGAGTACAGAGGAATCATAAGGAAAGAACACTGAGTTCAAAACCTAGATTGCAAGGATTTTTCATGTTTTCTTCCCCTTCAGCACATCCTTGTGAGCTCTACTGCCGACCCATAGATGGCCAGTTTTCTGAGAAAATGCTGGATGCTGTCATTGATGGTACCCCTTGCTTTGAAGGAGGCAACAGCAGAAATGTCTGTATTAATGGCATATGTAAGGTATTGGGTATGTTTCCTTAATCTACAACTTTATAAAACCATGATTTTTATGAATCCAAGAAGCCAGACATTCTAGGCCCTTTCTTTCACAGCATTTCAATAGCTGGTACTGGTTTTTATATGCAGTTTAAGAGACCAACACACTAGACTTCTCCCTGTTCATCAAAGTCAGATTTGAAGAGTTTTGTCCTCATTGCTATCATCATTGTTTGGTTGGTTGATGTGTTCTACGATGTTATTTTAGGCATGAAGCATGGTCAAACTGAAGAAAAATCAAATTAATTGAGGCTTATTAGGAAATGGCAATCCAGAGGATTTCAGTGGTGGTAAATTCTTTATTGCTTGCTTGTCATCTAAGCAGTACTAATTACCATTTAGCCCATTTTGACGCATGGCGATCCCATGTGTGTTTGAGTTAGAATTTGGTTTTCACTGGCTAATGGAGGCCTAACTTCTGAGAAACCTCTGGGTGGACTCAAAACTCCAACCTTTTGGTTAGAAGGCAAGTGTGTTAACTATGTGAACTACCCAGGGACTTGCCAAGACAGTGGCTGAGTTTGAGGCAAAATAAAATGAACAATTTGTATAGAGCGTATTGAGGTTGAATCTGGCAGTGATTATCAATATGATCTTGGAAGGAAGAGAGATGCTATGACAGGTAGCTGAAACCTAGTTTTTGTCATTTCTGTGAAGTTTTTCCAGATATGTCACATTGAATCCATTAGTTAATTCTATATTTATATAAACTACTTAGATCTGGCTTGCTAAGTAAAGATCCCAGGTGGTACAGTGGGTGAAACTGACAAAAATTGATGTTAATCCAAATTTACTTAATAGCCTAAATACAATTTATATTTCAATGATCCAGGTTATAGATATCTTTGTCTCTCTTACTTTTTATTCACCGACTATTTCTTTTATCCAAAGAAATTGAAATATGTACTGAAATAAATACACCATCATTAAAGTATGTATGCACATTGCTTTCTAATCCATCTTCCTTATGTATATGAAAATATTTGCATTTTGTTGAGGTCTTCAGTGATCTGTGAAATGACAGTATTTGCCAACATTTTGGTGCGTTAGGTCTGTCGATTCCCTTGTCAAGGATATCACTGTGCCCTGATCAGAGCTGAAATTTGTTCCAGGAACTAACTCTTTGCACCTTCCATCTCTTCCTTCAACTTATTATTTTTCTTTTTAACTTAAGCTGGTCTAAATGTAAATGGTAAGTTTGTTTATCAGAGACACAGGTTTAATTTTTCAGGGAACATCATTTTTAATAATATACATGGCATTTTTCCACCACTCGTCTGTCAGTTTGTCGTATTGTGGTTTCTTGTATGTTGCTGTGATTCTGGAAGCTATGCCATGGGTATTTTAAATACCAGCAGGGTCACCCATGGTGGACAGATTTCAGATGAGCTTCCAAACAAAGACAGACTAGGAAAAAGGAGAGATGAACTACTTCTGAATATTTAGTCACTGCAAACTTATGAATAGCAGAGAAACACTGCCAGATATAGTGCCAGAAAATGAGCCCCTCAGGTTGGAAGGCACTCAAAATGCAACTGGGGAAGATCTGCCTTCTCAATGGAGAAAAGATTGAAGTTGTCAAATACTTTATTTTTCTTGGATCAACCATCACCACTCATGGAGGCAGCAGTCAAGAAATCAAATGACATATTGCATTGGGTGAATCTGCTGCACAAGATCTTTTTAAAGTGTTGAAAAGCAAAGATGTCAGCTTGAGGACTAAGGTGTGCCTGACCCAAGCCATGGTATTTTCAACCTCATACGCATGCAAAAATTGGCCAGTGAACAAGGAAGGCCATAGAAGAATTGAGGCATTAGAGTTATGATGTTGGAGGAAAATATTAAAAGTACCATGGGCTGCCAAAAGAACAAACAGATCTGTGTTGGAAGAAGTACAGCCAGTGTGCTCCTCTGAAGCCATTATGGCCAGACTTCGTCTCTCATACTTTGGACATATTATCAGCTATGACCAGTCGCATGACGAGGATACCATGTCTGGTAACGAGGAGGGTCAGAAAAAAAAGAGGAAGACCACCAGCAAGATGTGTTGGCAAAGTGGCAGCATCAGTGGGCTCAAGAGTAGCAGCAATTGTGAGGTTGGCCCAGGACTGGGCAGTGTTTCATTCTTTTTTTTTTTTTAATGTTTTATTGTGAATTTCGTGATAGTTTACATGGGTGAACATTAGCTTTACAGTCATCCTATTGTATATTGTTCCATTGCCATGGTTACAATCCCCTTCATGCATCATTAACCAACCAAAGTGGATACCCTGCAAGCTTGCCTCCCGGTCATCAGCACATAGTTCCTCTCCCTTTCTGGGTCTAAAGTCCCCAACTATTCCATCTCTCCACATCATCATCTCAGCCTCCATCTCTGGCATCACTGCTTCTCTGGGTAGGGTCCCACTCTCCGCTCTTCTTCCTTGATGGTTCCAGGGACCTTGGCTCCTAGACTGCATAGTGTGTTTTGTTCTATTGTGCATAGGGTCACTATGAGTCAGTACAGATCCAATGGCACCTAACAACAACAATATGACAGTTTTGGACTTCTGGTAAGTCCAAAACTGTCATGTATAAACCTAAAAATGTCTGTAGTATAAAAACTGGACTGCAAATCATAAGGTTGATTGTTTAAACCCACTAGCTTCTCCTCGGAAACCATGTATAGGGTTGCCATGAACTGGAATGGACTTGATGACATGTAACAACGTGACATTTTTCATCGCAAGTATGACTTCATCCCATTTACTTTAGATATGTTATCAGGATGGGGCAGACCCTGGAGAAGTAGAGGGAAAAAGAGGAAGATCCATACCAAGAAAGACTGATACCGTGGGAACAACAGTGGATTCAAGCAAACCAGTGATTGTGAGCATGCTGCAGTACCAGGCAGTATTTCGTTCTGTTGTACATTGTTGTTGTTGTTGTTAAGTACCATTAAGTCGGTTCCGACCCATAGCGACCCTGTACAGAGTTTCCGAGGGTGTAAATCTTTACGGGAGTAGAAAGCCTTATCTTTCTCCCGCGGAGCGGCTGGTAGTTTCAAACCGCTGACCTTAAGGTTCACAGCCCGAGTCGTAACCACTACGCTTTAGGATCACTAAATATCAGAACCGATTCCACGACACTTAGCAACAGCAACATGATATAGAATAAGCTTTTACATATATGTGCAGACTCTCACAGCTCTGTAGCATGACTCTGATACCTCCTCATAGCCAGTTCTCTGATTTTCAGTTACTTAACTTTTCCTTCGTCTCCCAGTCAGCACAACTCTAGTTTAATAGATTTCTCAAACAGCCTATGTACCATGGTCTAAGCATCAGCTGCTCCCCGACTTCCCCGTCGTCTTCCACCAACCTCTCATCCCAGACACCTGGTGTCAAATGAGCCTCAATCACTATGCTTTTGATCTCACAACTAGTTTCCAATGTATTTCTTAAAATAAATATTCACCTTTGTGAATTTCACCACAGCAGCAGGCTGGTGCCTTCTCTTCCTTGTCCTGAAGGAAGTTCCTTCCTTGCCTCTTTCAGCTTCATGGCATTCCTTGGCTTCAGGCAGGTCCTCACCTGGTCTCTTCCTCCTGTGTGTGACTGCTTCCACATCTATCCTCTGTTATAAGAAGTCACCCACACAGAAGGGATTAAGCTTTGACTTACCCTACTGTGGCATACCTTCCTTAACATCTACAAAGAAAATCCCTGTTTCTTTAACCAAGGACACATTCTCCAGTTCAGGTGTTGGGACTTCACCATCTTTGGGGGGAGAGATACAATTCAATCCATAATATCTATCCAGGAGCAGATGACAAGCAGTTTGGTTAGAAACCCTGGCAAGGAGTCTAGCAGAGCTCTTGGGACCTTCAACCCATCAGTGTTCTCAAGAACAGTATATAGATTGCCCTGTGGATTCCTTGCCCACCAGCAAAGTTTGGGGAAGGTGCCCTGTATGATTTACTGTGTGAGTGAACTTTATGGGCCAGTATATAAGCTAACTGTGGAGGAGGATTTCTACTTCAAGGGATCCACATGTCGAGGGCACAGAGGAATGAGAAGGACAGTGTGACTGGAGAAACAGCAAGAGATATGGTAGGGTATGTGGAAGTTGGACAATGGATGTTGGACACTACATTGAGAGCAGTGGGCAGGGGTACATGGAAGAGTGAAACAGGAACATTGAACAGACTGTGGGGTGTCAGCCTGGGAAAGCAACCTAGCCTCTCTGAATGTGTTCCCTGTCTTAAATGAGCAACAAGATAGTCTACTAGTTTCCTATTGTCAGTTGTGTGTGAATCACTTCGGACTCATGGCGAGCCCATGCTGTGACCTTTTGAAAACAAAACTCTAGGCCTATCTTCTATGGTTCAAACTGCCAATCTTGTAGCTAGCAGTCAAGCATTGAACTACTTACTTTATCCAGGGTCTTTTCTAATAAACTGCCACAAAATGGATGACTTAAAAGAAGGATTTCTCTCCTACAGTTCTGGAGGCTAGAAGTCTGAAATGAAGGTACTGCCAACACCACGTGCCCTCCGACTAGGGAAGAATTTTTCTGGATTTTTTTCTAGTGTCTGGTCATTACCAGCACTTCTTGTCATTCCTTGGCTTATTACACCTGCATCACTCCAGTTTCTACCTCTGTCTTCTCATAGCCATCGTCCCTCTGTGTGGTATCTCTGTTTCCAATCTCTCCCTTTTTATAAGAACCCCAGTCATTGGATTTAAGGCCCACCTTCTTTCAGGATGGAGTCCTGGTATGGTGCTGTAGGATAAATACTGGGCTGCTAACCACAAGGTTGGTGGCTCAAACCCACCAGTCACTCCTTGGAAAACCTATACTGCATCACTATGAGTCAAAACCAACTTGATAACACTTAACAACAACAACCTATTCCAGGATGGCTTCATCTTAACTTGATTACATTTGTAAGGACTCTGTTAACAAACAAGATGAAGTTCACA